GGCGGAGGGCCAGGCCCTGAACTCCTGCCTTCAGTTCCCCTCCCCGGCGCAGGGCAGCCCCCCCCTCACCTGAGCAGCAGCAGCAGGGCGATGAGGAGGAGACACAGGGACGACAGCACCACCGCGACGACGGCCAAGGCCGTGGTGTGGTCGTAACCGGTGGAGGGGTTTTCCACCGGGAGCGTGAGGCCGTGGCATCTCTCGCCGTGGTACCCTGTGAACTCCTGCCTTCAGTTCCCCTCCCCGGCGCAGGGCAGCCCCCCCCTCACCTGAGCAGCAGCAGCAGGGCGATGAGGAGGAGACACAGGGACGACAGCACCACCGCGACGACGGCCAAGGCCGTGGTGTGGTCGTAACCGGTGGAGGGGTTTTCCACCGGGAGCGTGAGGCCGTGGCATCTCTCGCCGTGGTACCCTGGCTGGCAGCTGGTGGGGGAAGGGAGACAGCGTCAGAGACAGTGGCCCCAGGGCATTCCAGGCAGCTGTGCCGGGACGTTAATCATCTGTGGAACCGCCCTCCAGCCCCACGCGACACAGCAATGCCCGCCCCCCCCGGCCCCACATGGCCCCTTGCCGGGGGCTCCACCCTTTGCTCAGCACTTCCATGCTCCAGGCCCCGCTCTCCTCCCACACCAAGGCCTGTGTCCTGGACAGGTCCCAACATCGCTGCTGCTCTCTCTGTCCCCAGTGCAGCCTGGGGCGTTGCTACTGGCATGGGGCTGGCATTCGGGAACTGGCCCTAGAGCCCCAGAAAAATGGAGTCAGTCCCGTGCGAACACACTAGACTCCAGGCAGCCAGTCCCCTTGCCGCCTTCCCCGGAGGGCTTTTGAATCCCGGGTCTGTGGGGACATGGGAGCACAGTCCGTGGAAATGCCGTGGGATCTCCCAAGCATCCTGCTGGCACGCAGGGGCTGGGGTCCCTTTGGCTGCTCCCCAGAGCTGGCTGCATTTCACCGGGGAGTAGGACACTGGAAACCTTCGGGGCTTTGGCAAAGGAGACGTGTCAGAACAGCTGCCCTGCGCTTCCAGCCTCGTCCAGTCACGTCTGCCCCGCACCGGGGGCGAGTGTGGGCGAAGGGAGCAGGCTGCAGGGAGGGACCGGGGGGGGCTTATTCACCCTGACCAGCAGGATCAAAGAGCTTGGTCGCTTGGTAACGTGAGTCACCCGGCTCCCGGTCGGTCCAGGCTGAGAGGAGGCCGTTAAAATAGGAACAGGACTAATCACTGCACTTCCCCTCCCTGGATTCTACCAGCACGTCGGGGACTCGGCCGGGGACTCCCTCTTCAGCTCCCCGGCCAGAGCCCGGAGCCCCAGGCAGGTCTGACCCGCGCCGGGTAAGGCAGAGGAAAGGTCTGAGCAAGGCTCTCCCCCACAGGCGCCCTTCTCAAACCGGAGCAGAGAGACGCCCCCGACACGCGAGCCCCCCCGGCCAGGTGATCACTCGCGTAACAGAAATAAGATCCGTCTCAGAGCCAGGAGGCTAATTAACCCACCGCCCTCGCAGGGACGCAAAGGAGAATCATGTAAACAGCCGAACATCCCCCCCCCCCCCCCGCGGG